TTCAGAAGGAAGCTTGAACTAATTGCAAATTCGAAAATCATTTAGAGGGAAATTCATCATATATAAAGAGCATGTGAGCATGAAAGAAGACTGGCATGTTATTGTAAAATCTATAGAGAAATCCAGTGTAGAAGAGTTTTAGTAAAAAGGTCAAAATCACATGAAAACAAGGAAGCCCAAACTCAATTCAAAGACTCGAAGAGTTAGGGGTTCTAAAATAAAACCCTAGTTCAATCAAATATATGATCAAACCTGGCAGAACCCCCAAATTTTAGGGTTTCTGCCTTGAATCAAGTACATAGATGAGAAGACAAGTGGTCGAAGCAGGCTCAGAGGTTTCAGAGAAGAACTGAAACCTCTTGCATGCTTCTATCAACAACAAAACTCAAGGTAACAGGCAAAACACAGTAGAAGCACTCGAAGAAAAATAGAGGAAAACACTGATAAGAGCAGTAAACATGCTTAAGAAGTTTTTCAGAAGAAAATTAAACAGGGCTTAGTAGAAGGAAAGTAAGGAAACTTAGGAACTTAGCAGGAAAGTACAATAGGAGAAACATGCTGGAACATAGTAGAAGAAGAATATAATAGAAAAGCATATGAGAACACAGTACGGAAAACATGGTAGCGGAACATACAAGCATGGAGCGTATAAAACACATACAAGAACGGAGTATGAAACTCAGTAGAAGAACGTACAAGAACAGATATACAAGAACGTGGTAGATAAAAACATAGGAGCACAGTAGAGGTAAATACACAAAAAGAAAAGAAATTCAGTGAAACACTTAAACATTTTTTCTGAAAATCCTAGATCGGAAAGAAAGATTTTAAAAAAAAGAAGTAATTTCGAAAGAAAAGTTAGGAAAATCGTTTGAAAAACTCAAGGAAAGCACAGATATACAACGAATCTAAAGAAATCGGAGAAAACCTCGGAGAGTTAGGGTTTCAGAAGAACCCTAGAAACGAGAAAGGCTTTTAAAGGTCACCGATCTGAGTCGGAGAGGTTAGAAACAGGCTCAAACAACTATAGTACGCCGGAGCAAGGCCGGAGATGGCTGGAGAACTTCGAATCGACGGAGGTCTGGGTTCGAACCTTCGAGGTCAGGCCTCGAATCTGCAGGTATCAAGCATATATGAGCAATAGGAGGTGAGTATAGGGCTCTCACAGCCTGGGAAGCCATGGATTCCGGTGGGTTTCACGGTGGGAGATGGTGAGACGATTAAGGTTCAGAGGAGGTTCGAGAGAGTTTGAGGGGGTGAAGGGATTCAAAGGGGCTGTTTAGGTGAAAATGATTTAGGGTTAAGGGGTGTTGGTGGGTTAAAAAAGGAATGGAGGGATCGTGGCCGTTGATCCTTTTGATCAACGGCCTGGATTTATTGGAGAGCCGGCGCGGGTTGGATTACATTGGGTCATGGGCGGGTAGTTTAGGAATTGGTCCGGTCCGATTGAGATTGAAATTGGGTTAATTGGGGTGGTTGATTTGGGCTAAAATTGAAATAAATAGGACTAGATTTTAAATAGCCAATTTTCCCTTTTTATTTTATAAAAATAGTAAAATGATTTCTGCAGACAAATTAAAGGTACTAAATTAATTAATAATATATAAATATTAGATTAAAAATACTAGAATCAAATTTATAATTATAAACGCAATTAATTCTTAAAACAGGCTAATATTGCAATTATATGCAATTTAGCCTTAAAATACTAAATAAATTTGTAAAAAATGTGCAAAAATTACCTTAGCTATTTTGGTATAAATATGAAAATACAATAAATGAATCACAAAAATGATCATTTGGGGAATAGTTATTGATTTTTATTGATAAAATATGGCAATAAAATTGGTTTAACAATCTTTAAAAATTAAAGAAAAATAGGAAAATTCTTGGACATACTTATATATGCATTCATATGATATTTGAAAGGTATTTTGTATATAAAAATATACAGGGAAAAATTGGGTATCAACAAAACTGTAGATTGTGTTTTCATTGGATATGCTACAAACAGTAAAGCATGTCGGTTTTTGGTTCATAAATCTGATAATCCCGAAATTCATGTTAATACGGTAATTGAATCAGATAATGCTGAATTCTTTGAAAGCGTCTATCCGTATAAAACTGAATGCGAGTCGTTAAGTGAAAGACCTAAAAGACCATGGGAAGAACCAAAGGAAAATACTCCAAGTGAAGAATATCCAAGGCGCCGCAAACGTCAAAGAACATTTACTTCCTTTGGACCAGATTTTGTGACATTCTTGCTTGAAATGAGCCTCAAACTCAAAGCAGCTATGTCATCTTCTGATTCAGTATTTTGGAAAAAGGCAGTTAATAGTGAGATTCAATCAATTTTGGATAACCATACATGGGAATTGGTTGATCTTTCGCCAGGAAATAAGCCTTTAGGTTCGAAATGGATCTTTAAACGGAAAATGAAAGCTGATGGCACTATTCACAAATATAAGGCAAGACTTGATGTCAAAGGTTATAGACAAAAGGAAGGCCTTGATTACTTTGACACTTACTCGCTAGTAACGAGGATAATATCTATTAGGGTGTTAGTGGCACTAGCGGCCGTGTATGGTCTTGAAATTCATCAAATGCATGTTAAAACATCTTTCTTAAATGGAGAATTGGAGGAAGAGATTTACATGGAACAACCTGAGGGTTTTGTGGTTTCGGCTAAAGAAAAAGAAGTGTCCAAACTTGTTAAGTCGCTTTATGGACTTAAACAAGCACCAAAATAATGGCATGCCAAATTTGACCAAACAATGTTGGCAAATGGGTTTAAAATCAACGAGTGTGACAAATGTGTTTACATTAAAAACACTCAAGAATATGTTGATGACATGTTGATAATGAGCAAAAACATGGTAGATATAAATGCTACTAAACGTATGCTAGCCAGCAAATTCGACATGAAGGGCTTAGGAGTTGCTGATATGATCTTAGGAATTAGAATTCACAAGACTCCACAAGGTCTAGCATTATTACAGTCTCACTATATTGCAAAGACTCCAATTGACGTGAATTATGCACTTCAAAAGAATGAAGGTGAAAGTGACTCACAACTGAACTATGCAAGAGTATTGGGAAGTTTGATGTATATCATGAATTGTACGCGACCAGATATAACATGTGCTATTAGCAAACTGAGTCGGTTTACAAGTAATCCCAATCAAATATATTGGATGGCAATGAAACAAGTTTTAGGGTATCTGAAACATACTCAAGATTATGCTCTGCATTATAACAAATATCCCTCCGTGATCGAGGGATATAGTGATGAAAATTGGATTACCAGATCTTCTAAAGTTAAATTCACAAGTGGATGTGTTTTCACAATTGGGGGTGGAGCAGTGTCTTGGAAATCATCCAAACAAACGTGCATCGCCCGTTCTACAATGGAATCTGAATTCATTGCTTTAGATAAGGCCGGTGAAGAAGCTGAATGGCTCCGGAATTTCTCGGAAGATATTCCATTTTGGCCCAAACCTTTGGCATCTACATGTAAAGCGGCAACAGGCAGGGTAGAGAACGTTATGTATAACGGAAAATCTCGTCACATACGACGGAGACACAATACCGTTAGACAACTACTCTCTAGTGGTGTTATCACTATTGACTATGTAAAGTCAAGAGATAACGTGTCGGATCCACTTACAAAAGGCCTATCTAGAAAGGCGGTTGAAAGATCATCAAAGGGAATGGGGTTAAGACCTAGGACAAGTCATCATGGCGATAACTCTACCTAGCAGACTCGAGATCCTAAGAGCTAGGTTCAAAGAGATCAAACAAAGTTATGAAAGACGGTTCAACATCGTCAAATAACTCAACCCATTCTCGTGATGAAGACAATGTTTAAAAATCAGGGTAAAGCACTAAGGGTTTTGATGAGTCAATAAAGCTTAAAGTTTTTTTTAATGATTTGCTAAGTCTGGCAGGAAATGATCAGATAATGTGTCTATAGGATTACACGTTTAGAAATCACCTTTGTGAGTGTGAAGTGTAAGCCGCTTCAAGGGGAATGAAAGTCTTTGCACTCATGAAACCAGGCAGTGTTCATGGCTGAAACGAACAAAACCGTGAGAACCATAGATGGTTAAGGGTTGATTATGTGACTTATATTGTCTAGGTATACAACAAAGCACGACGGTTCAAAGATATCAAATCTATCAATTGACCGAGTATATCCGGTATAAGTTCACTACGGAAAGTTCAAAGGGAAACCTACTTATCCAGATGCAATTAATCATTGCATGTAAATCACATACTCGTCCGTCCATTCCTTTGCCTTATAGCCATTCCCTATTCATGTGGGGTATTGTTGGGATTAAAGATTAGTGAATGGGGAATGGAGGGAAGAAAGTGGAGAGAAAGTGAGCTCCCTTTTACTTTGGAAAGAGCAAAGTATCCCTCATTGGTGGTGGAAAGAAAAGTTAATGTGCTTATATTGAGAAAGCACTTCTCTTGGTGTTAAATGGGTTGGAAAGAAAGTAAGTTTCGCGTCGCCGTCATCGTTGCTCTCGGCTTCGGCTTCGGATTTGGTCAACGAGTGATTGATTAATATTTTTGGACAAAATTTCTTTCAATTATTTAATTAATTAACGAAAATTCAACCCGAAATAACCCAGGATCCACGACGCGACCTGGTCCGTTTCTTACCCAGATTATTTTAAATCCTTTTTCCCGCAATATTTCAAACAAAAATATTTCCACCTGTTCCAACAGCCATGGTTGTTTCTGAAAGGTTGCAATCCTTTTCAGAAACAGTGCCAGGAAAGCTATAAATATGTCTTGATCCTAAAATCTTTTCGTACGAAATTTTCTGATCTTCTTCTTCTTATGCACAAAATTTTCCAGTGTGTTTTACAACCATTGAGTGGTTCGAAGTTCATCAGAGTTTTTGGTACCAATACAGTGCTGAGTTAAATAGTTCTATACTGGGAGGATAATATTCCAAAACCTTGGGTACTTGAGGGGAATAATTTCCTTAAGGACACACAGTACATTCAGTGGGCTCGATCTTTTCCGAATTATATTTTGAGATTGCGCTTCTAATTATATATATACATTTCTGCTATACTACTCCTGTTTTCTGTTTTTATTGTTCCAGAAATATTACTGTTTCTTTATATTATAGCATTACAGTTTGACTAACAGATATTTCTGCCTATCAGCCCATAAAATCTCTGTCAATGTCCTGCCACACTAGTAGCTTCCCAGATATGGGTTGAGAACCACCAGGCAAAGACTAAGTGTGCCACACCTTAATCTGCGATGTCACACACTGGACATACTTTGTTAACATTCATTAAGTGTGCCACACTTAATGAATGTGCCACCAGGCAAAGACCAAGTGTGCCACACTTTAATCTGCAATGTCATACTGGACATACTTTGTTAACATTCATTCTCCACTTCTCTAATATGAAACTCCACATGCCTTGGTTATTACATACCAATCTCCTCCATGTAACCTTTGGAAATAAATGGAAACTCCCCTCTTAGCTTATGATAGACAACTTTAATAGAAAACCTCTGTATTCTCCTTATTTCTATCGATTGATCTCCAGCCTCAATGAAGAATTTCCTGGCATTCATAACCTTTTAAACAACCCAAGATGCCTGCTTTGGTGTTTCTTCCAGGATATCCCTCTTTTTCCCATAGTTAGCATGTATTCATTTTACCCAAAGTTTATCTTTTTTTCACAAATAAATTCCACCACAACTTGCTAATTGCAGCTCCTGATAGGTTAACAACTGCCAAAGCCGTCCTGCTAAAGAACAGTGTGAGGGTGTCTTATGCAACCCCTTAAAAGCTCGCATTGCTGCAACCATCTTATCCATGTATATGTTCGGATAGTAAGTAGCCAGTAATATGTTCGGATAGTAACTCCTCTCGACAAGAGGTTATCCCCCAAGTTCCATCAGGCCATCACCAGTTGCCAAATAAATAGTTAGTTCTGTAGGAATGAACAGAGCCTGAAGGATGAGGGCAGTTCCATTTGGTGTAAAAGGGCACTTCCCACTGCTTCTCCAAATATGAGCCATTTATTAGATCCAAGGTTTCATATCCCCCCGCCGAGCTTCTATATGATTTACCAATATAGGAGAAAGACTGGAGTACTCACGTTAACTGTAAGCTACCATGTCAGACTGAAATCGCACATGAAGTGATAAGAAGGATTCTGGTAGCTTGTAGAAGCTCAAATGCTTTCTTCTCCAATGCTCTGTTAAAGCAAAGTGCTATAACGAGAATGAAAGTGCAGCTTTTGCATGCAGCAGGGTACCTAAGATATTGAAATAACAAGTACGCCAAATGAAAAAGTTAGAATAAGCATTACTCGTAATGAATAACTAAATCCTCTGAAGAGCAGCCTGCAGAAATGATCGGTCTAAGGATTTCAAGGAAACTTTAGTTACCAGTTAGTACCTATACTTTCTTCAAATCATTCTCTTTTCTTGTTTCTTGTTTCTTTTTTTTTCTTTTTTTTTTTATTCTTTTTGAGATAAGGAACCCTCCTTTGACTCAATGCAGAGAGCGATTGAAAACAACATGCTCCAGCACAAAGAACGTTCTCAATAAAGTTTACTGCAATCAACTCTTGCATGTTCTTTTGATGCAATGTCATCCGAAAGCTCCTTTACCACTTCAGCAAAGCCATTCAAGTTGGAAGAAATAGTTTCGTCACTTTATGTCAAATATACCAACAAAACTACAAAAATATGATGCCAAAAAGTCATTCAGAGTGATGATCAGATAGAGTAGTCAACAAATGCTAGATTCAGAAGGAATCTCTAAAGAATGTAAAGCCACATAGGTTCAAGAAGACAATTGTCCTGTTGATAACACAAGAGACCATAATGATTCAACAACTCAAAGACCATAAGGATCCTAAAAGACTCATTAAGTACCTTTAGCCTACAAAATTCCAACAGAAAAGAAAATGATGTAACAAAAATAAAGCTCAGAAAATTGATTATATTGATTCATTCAAGTATGCAGCCACTTCAAACTTGGGCAAATCAAGAGTAGAATTCAGCAACTTATCAAAAAAGAAAAAAACAAAGTAGCTTTCAGCGAAAGAGCTATTCCAACACCATCACACAACTGCATATTACGGGCATCCTTGCAAAATTGAGCTAGAATTTTACCAGCATGTATCAGTTGGCAAGACATTCCTGTAACTTTTCTAATTGTGATACACATCCCTCCTCATCTGAATCAGCCTACCATAGCAATCTACTCGAATACACCCATCACCCAATGCTGGAACAGCTGCAGCATTTCAACAACAAAAACCAAATCCGAGTGTCTTGAATTATAGGCAGTCATATGTTTGACTTAGAAAAATCAGAACCCCTATATGAAAAGGTTACAAGCAGTCAAGTACAGTTATAATTGCACCATAACTCTTTTTTCACCCATCAATCAGAGAATTGAAGAGTATAATTAATATTTGCAGCCCAAGCAGTTTAGTCAGTACTCTCAAATTTTCCCTACTATCCTATCAATATATTACTATAAAGAATAAAAGTAGTACCCTGTTTTTCAGTTAGCAATAATGTAGTTTATAATTAGACTCATGCTGCTCCTCTTACCATTTTTCTTTCAAAAAAAATAGAAGAAGAAGAAGAAAACAGCCCTTATTGGGCAATGATAGTAGATCAAAGACTTATCCAATCTAAGTGTACTTATTTTAACCCACCTCTTAGAAAACTCCGAAGTAGCTTCCGGGCGACGATAACAGACAAAGAAGGTGAACATTTTTATTTCTTTATCACTGACTTAACACAATCAAATCTTTCTATTGCGAAAAGAACTTTTTTTTTTTTAGGGGGGGGGGGGGGGGGGGGTTGGAAATTTTTTGTTGGTACACTCTTGTTAGACCAATGTCGGTAGGAATTTTTTTTAATCTTGTTCTGAGATTTGTATGCCAGTAGAAAATATAGAGAACTTCTAAAGGTTAGAGAAGCTAATTTATTAACTATTTGCACGAAACAGGTCTAAATGGAGCAAAATGGATAGCAAGGATTCATATAGCCGACCCCTATAGCTGTTGTTGTTTTGAAGGGTGGAGGAGATCAAGAAAAGAAGAGTACTAGATATCTGAAAATACATTCGCCCATAAGCTGGCTATGGCACTAGCAGCTTTTGTTTGCATCTTAAAATAATATTTGAATATGTCAAATAAGTTGCCAAACCTTAAAAATAGTTTGAACCATGACAATCAAAAGCCTTGTAATTCATCTTGTAAAGATAAAATTGACCAGTCTACCACTTGGGATGAGGGGTATGGGTGGGTACTGGGTAATATGAAAGGCTGGATAACCTAAACGACGACGTAAATATAAGTAAAAATGACTTACAAGCTACAAAAACATCAGATCCTCCAAAGGATTTAAGCAATTATTTTCATTATCACCTTACCTAGTGACTGGGGAGAACATTATTATTTAAAAAGAAAATATCAATGAAAAAGCAAACCTTACCTAAAGGAACATGCTTCTAAATTTTTGGAGGATTGTTCTATGAACTGGTAACCACCTGTTGCAATTTCCCTTCTTGGTCGATTCCCAAGCAACCAACTGTTTGACCATCACATCTGCAATCATAGACTGATACAACACTCCAGAATCACATCACCACCAGCTTTGATCTAGTAACTCCAGAAACTAGAAACTACAATAGATGCAGAAACAGCACATTCATTAATAATGTGTTTGCATCTCCAAAAAAACCCCCGGATTCAACAGTTACTTCAGAAGTCCCAACAAAAACACAGAAGGATAGCATTTCAAAAATGCACTGATTTACAAACAATAAAGGAAACTCTTATAGGTGTCTTCCAGCAATGGTTGACAGGCTCATTTAAATAGCTAACAATCTTGCTGCCCTTGTTTATTCTTGAAAAGTGATGTCTCTTCAGCGAAGTGGCTTAAGGATAGCATTTCAGAGCCCAATTTTAACCTGGGAATCCAAGTGATAACTACATGTCCTTCGTCCTTTACTGAGAGAGCCAATTGTCCAAATCCACATATCCATTCATAGAACCTCAAATAAGCTCGTTATGCAACTTGAGGTCAACATTCTTGCAAACCTGGTACTTTTCTGTTGGACCATAACTAGATCCTTTACAAGCAAATAGAGTCATTTATTTGGCTACGGATCAAGAAACTCATCACAACACCTTTTTGGCTACAGCTTGCTATTACAAAGATCAGTTAGGACAAGTTTTGCCTCTTAGGATACAGTTTGTCATCTCGGCGAGAAATAGCTTCCAAGAACGACAAAGTCAGCATCACTAGCTGCTACAAGTAAAAGCAAACAGAGAAATGTCAAGCATGCGGCGGCAAACAAACAACAGGCATTAAGAATATGTATCACCTTGACCAAAGGGATTGAGGCACATTGAACTCCTTTACTCATCACTATTAGAGCATTCTTTTTCACGTCTCAATCTGGCACGGGACTTGTTTCTTCTCATAACATTTGTTAGCTCTTGAATTAAACAAGAAGTACTTCTTTCCATTTTATCCGCAAGAATCTCTGTTTGCTCTGCAAATCCTAAGCCTATAAGTTTATTACGAATTAATTCACAGGTTTCCCCATATGGTGGGATCCCTTCATCTATCATCATTTCAAAATATTTACATGCTTCCTCAAGTTTGCCTTTCTTCTGACAGAGACCATGTATCATAACAGCGTACGTTGAGACTGAAGGATAAAATTTCCTGCCTTCCATACTCTCCCATACTTTCTCAACTCTATCAAACCTTCCGACCTTTACGAGCATTTTAAGCACCATGTTATATGTATGCCGATCTGGAAGGCAACCATTCTTCTCCATTTTTGAGATCAGCCTAAGTGCCAAATTGACTTCATTATGATCACAATGAAAAGCAAGGATTGTATTATAACTCCAACAATCAGGTTTTACCCCACGGTCAATCATCTCATCTATCAGTTGGTAAGCATCCTCAACCTTGTCACTCTTGCAGAGCTTCTTGATGATCACGTTGTACGTAAATACATTAGGCACAAGTTTGTACCTTTTCATCCGATCAAGGACCCTAAAAGCTGAATGAATATCATCCTTTACACAATAAGCACGAATAAAAACTGCATATGTAAAAGCATCAGGTTTTAGTCCCATGGACCTCATCTTCACGAACAAGTTATAGGCATCATCCATTTTTCCAGCCTTACACAGTGACTCCAAAATGCTGTTATAAGCTAACAAATCAACTGACGAACCTCTCTCAAGCATTTCATCAAACAGTTTCTGTGCCTCAATTACTTCTACAGTTTCTCCCCAGCCCCTCATCATAATGCTGTAAGATTTCACACTCAGCATGTATTCATCTTTAACTCTATCAAAGAACTGCTTCGCTTCTTTCATATGCTTTCTTTTACACAATGCAAGCAAAAGCTGATCAACATCCACTACACTCGGTGTAATCCCAAAATCAATCATTTTATCAAAACTCCTAATGGCATCAACAGGTAAATTAGCTCTACTATAAGACCTAAAGACAATCCAGAAAATATCTTGACCCAATTCACAAGATTTGTTCCTTTTTAACTCAACAAGAAAGTCCCATAACAAAGGAAACTGTTTGCTACTTCCTAAAATATCAACAAGAATGTGATAGCTTTCTTTACTATGAAGAAAACCCGATAACTTATTTGCCCATATGAAGAATCTGTGAGCTGAAAACCCAAGATTTTTGCAGCGTTTAAGGACTTGTTCAACTATGTTAGCCGAAATCTTGTCGGAGAATGGATTGAGAGCTGATTCAATGTCGTTGTGGGGATTTCTGTGATCGCTTAGGATGCGAGAGAGTTCACTTATTAGGTGGGAATTAGAGTGTTGTGGGTCTGTGGTGGAAGTGAAATTAGCTCTGTGCAAAAGGCATGTGAAGTGATGAGCAGAGAATAATGGAAGGGGATAGTGTGGGAAGATTTTGGATTTCGTGGGTGGTGTGTGATTGTGATGGAAGATTGTGAGGGCGAAATAGTGAGTACTAATTCTGGCGCGAAGAAGAGTTCTTATCGCCATTAGTATGGAACTTGGGCAAGTTTCAAAACTTGGGATGTGTATATACAGAGTATAGACCCAGTCAGAGCATCCAGTAGGCTGCTCCCTCTTTCTTATTGGCCATGCAAAAAGATCATTTTTCTAGTAAAAAATGTAGTTGGGTCATCGGTGGACAAAGCATCCTGCATTCGCGGTCTGGAAAATAGTCATTCAAGGAGGGTGATGTAAACAGCCTAATCTAATAATGCAAGCATTAGTGATTGCTTACACGGCTCGAACCTGTGGCATCGATTCGATTGCGTAACATATAGGTCAAGACAACTATACCATAGCTCGAAGGTTCCCTTCATTTTTCTCATAAAACAAACAAAAATGCTAATAGCTAAATAGTAGTGTGGCTACTAAACTTTAATTTTCTTAAGAAACAAATGATTTGAGGAAAATTTCTAAACAATTTAAGTATATGCAAGATTTATCAATCCATCAAGATTGATAAACAATTAAATAAGATAGGTACAATGAAAATTATAAGTTATGATACGCCAGCATAATTGGTAAATAAGGTAAGATTTGTCAATCCTACAAAACTTGTGAATAATTTATGAAAATAGGTAGAATAAAGATCGTACAAAAGTTATAGTTGTCAGGGATATAATAGATATGCCATAGATCAAATCTCATTTTGATGATCTGAACATATTTTCTGAACGTCATGTGATATAAAAATATATGGCATCTGATATTCTTTTATCATAGTTATTAATAATTGCTTGATTAACTTGATAAGGTCCTTGATTAAATTTTGAGACTTGACATTGTGATGGAGATCAGGATATGAGAGTGAAGTTTCTTATAGTTTAATCGAAATTTGTTCTTGATCATAGGATTGTTAATTTGGACATTAATAATCCGGTTAGATCAATATTTATGTGATCGTCTTTATTGGATAAAGATTAGTTGATCTCATTAACTAAATCACATAGATAGATGATGCATATAGAGATATGATCATTGAACCGGCTCATTGGATAATTGCTAATGATTAGAATTACCATAATCTGTCAATAGGATATTCTTTTGAAGAATGTGATGTAAGAGTTTCCTTTGACTTGAGATCGTCATAGTAATTGACAAGTTATTTATTGTGCTTTGATATCAGACACGGCCCTAGGGCGATAGTTGAAAGGATATTGGGTATGATTAAATGCTTGTAGAATTAGTGATTGATCAAGATGGAATCTGTCAACTCTTGGTAATGAGTTTAAGCTCCATGTTGTCATGAATTATAAACGACCAAATTAAGACCTCTGCCAGGGCAATTGAATAAAAGAAGAAAAGAGTTTCTTAGGTCATTCAATGGTCGATTATACTTGACATGAGCACATATTGGTCGCCTTTTAGGATTTGACAGTTGAACCATATCTTAGGGTGACCCAGAGCTATAAGGACAGAAGGAATTACTACATTATTCTTCTACAGGTTCTTTAGAGTAAATTGTATACTTCATGCTATCCATTCGTTAAGGAGTGTTGCTAGACGCCACCCTTGATTAGTATATTGATGTAATCAGTTTACTACCGGCTTAGTATTGAACCTATGGAGTCGCACACTAACGAGTGTTCTGATTTTTGCTGAAAGATTAATTACTTCATTATTTGACAATTAAATTAAGAATTTAATTATTCAAATATATTTAGTTTATTAGTCTAAATGAAATATTATTATATTCTTTGCTAGCACATAGGATATAATTAATATTGTGAATAATTTGAACTTTTCTATTTGAAACAGAAAATTAAATTATATCTCTTGGTTGGAATATATATATATATATATATATATATATATATATATATATATATATATATATATATATATATATATATATATATATATATATATATATATATATATAGTACCCATAATTAATATTTGTATATATATAATGATGTATATAATATTAATAAAGATTTTTTTATCCAAGTTGGAGTTGGACATGGAAAGTCCATGAAGGACGCGCACTCACGTTACGCATACCCATTTAGAATGGGATTTGTAATTTTTCATAAAATTCTACTGTGGAATGCACTTGAAAAAACGTAAACTACTGTTTCTAACTTTTCCATAACCTAATGGAAAAGTGTTGGTGATTAACACAATATATATATATATATGTATCATCAAAAGAAACAGAGGTGTACAGAATATTCGGTAGAACCGAAAGTGTGATAACTCGATAGGTCATCTTATGTATTAGAACCAAACTCTATGTTTCGAAGCCTTTAGAACCTCATTTTAACCTTCCTCAATCTGCGTGTGCAGTCCGGGTAATGATCCGGAAGGCTTATATGCTAAAAACTAATAAAAATAAGAATTTTTGTCTTAAAAGTTAATTTTAGTTGACTTCGGTCAACGTTTTGAGTAAACAGAACCGGACCCGTATTTTGACGGTCACGGTGGTTTCGTATTGAAATATGGGATCTGGGCATATGCCCGAAATCGAATTCAGAGGTCCCTAACTCGAGTTATAAATTTTTGTTGAAAATTAAAAGTCTGAAAGTTTAATGGTTTTAAGAATTGATTGATGTTTGGCCTTGTTGATAACGGGTCCGTATTTTGATTTCGGAGCCCGGTACAGGTCCAATATAATATTTATGGATTGTCTGTGAAATTTGGTGATAAACGGAGTTAGTTTGACGTGATTCGGACGTCCGGTTGTGAAAATAGAGGTTTTAAAGCTTTCAAAATTTTTATTCGATTTGGTATCCAATTCATAGTTCTAGGTGTTATTTTGGCGATTTGATCGCGCGAACAAGTTCGTATGAGGTTCTAGGACTTGTGTGCATGTTAGGGTTGGAGCCCCGAGGGCTCGGGTGAGTTTCGGATAGGCTATAGAGTGTTGGAACTTAGGAAAACTAGAAATTGATGCACCAGATCTGCAGACTTCTCATTTGCGAGGTCTGGCTCGCAAATGCGAGCCTCGCATTTGCGAACAGGCCATCGCATTTGCGAGCAGTGGGCTGGGAGGGACATCTTCGCATTTGCGATCCTCGGATTTCCTCATTTGCGAACATTTTGTTCGCATTTGCGAAGGCAACAGGAATATGGGAGTTTCGCATTTGCGAAACTTTTCTCGCATTTGCGAAGCCCAGATCGCATTTGCGACATCTGCCGCTAGGTAAAAATGACTTAGACGAGATTTTTCTCCCATTCTTCAAATTTTCAAACCTAGAAACATAAGAGGCGATTTTCCAAAGACGCCTTCTTCCCCAAATCATTGGTAAGTGATTCTAACCTATCTCCTTTTTATCTTCCAAAATATTTCACAAGTTTTCAACCTAAAATCTAGAGTTTTCATGGTAGAATTGGGGGTTTTTGAGTAGAAACTAGGGGTTTGGAAAATTGGGAATTTAGACCTCAAATTGAGGTCGAATTTCAAAACCAATCATATAACCGCGCTCGGGGGTAAATGGGTGATCGGATTTTGGTCCGAATTTCGGGTTTGGACCAAGCGGGCCCGGGTGTTGACTTTTCAGTAATGGCCTAAATTGAATTCTTTGCAATCGTGGGTAGTGTATAGGGAAAAAACTGAATTTATATTGAAGGTGACGTGGCATGACACGTGGACTGGTCAAATGGTCAAAACATGATGATCAGTTAAGAGGCACGGGCGATATCAGATACGAGGAGAAGAAAGTTAAATAGCCACGAGATGCTATTCAAATGATACGAGTCTCGTATCTATTTAACTTAATTAAAGCCAGGAGGTCAGAAGGAATTGAAGATATGAATCTTATGGCATAAAGGAGTCTAAATTCAGTATTAAATGTCAAATACGTTAGCGAATCAGTATTGAATAGGAATGATTGTGTAACGTTTCATTTAATGTCATTTAATGCTCATAATTGTCTCTTTAAGGCTAAGGCATTATACCTTTTCCTAGAAAAATCAACTATAAAAGGAGGAGGTCTCAGCATTTGTAGGGACACGAAAAATCATTGAGATTACATTGAAATACAAACTTATTTACTGCTTTATTATCCTCAAAAATTTCTTATTCTTTTCGTCTCCTGATTATCAGTAACCCGATTTTTTCTCTTAATTTCTAGTTTTAACCGAAATTCTATTTTTTGGTTAAACAGGTAGTTCTTAAGGCTTTATTTGAATTGTTTGGTTGGTAAGTTGCTAGATTCTATTGATCTGGAGGCTTGTTTGAAGGGAAAAGCCGTGGTTGAGCTTTGAGTTTGGCAGTTAAAGCGAGGTAAGTGTCGTGGTTAACCTTGGCTTGAGGGATTAGGACCTATTTGTCTATTTGCTACGTGTTTAGATATTGGGTACAACATATATGTGAGGTGACGAGTAACCATGGTCGGGTTATAGCATGCGGGTGGGTCTTATTCTTGTAATTGTTGCTTTCCTTGATCATATTATCCATGCTTAGACTAGTTAACCGTTATGTTGATCATTCTTATCATGTTTACGGACTTTGGTATTGATTGAGTATTGACTCAAAGTTGAGATTGGTATTCTGGAACCAAATGTTGAAGTAAGACTTGTTCTGGTTATTTCTATCTCCCTGTTGTTATTGTTCATTGTTTGGTGAGGGAGACTGTTAATGCACGAAGGGTGATATCGTGCCATGTTTTGTGAGTGTTAATGCACGAAGGGTGATGTCGTGCCATATTATGAGTGTTAATGCACGGAAGGTGATGCCGTGCCATGTTATGAGAGAGTTAATGCATGAAGGGTGATGTCGTGTCGTGTCTATTGATTCATATGGTGAGGTTGAGGGTAAAAGCACGAAGGGTGATGCCGTGCATTTCCTTTACTGTGTTTACTTGTTCTTATTTGTGCAAGGTACATCCATTGATCAAGTTCTTATTGCTGTTGTGATTCTTTATCTTGTGATCCCCTCATAATGTCCCCCTCCCGATATTACTTGTCTGGTTTCTTTCATTGCTGTTATTGGTACATATATTGTTATACTGCATAGGTTTATTTGTGGGTGTCTTGTCATAGCCTCGTCACTACTTCGTCGAGGTTAGACTCGACACTATCCAGTA